GCACCGGGAGCCCCGACACCACCATGTAGGCGTCGCCGATCGTCTCCACCTGCGAGGGCGGGAGAGGGTGCAGCACCTGAGGGCTGGGACGTCCCCTTCCCTGGGCCGCCCCCAGCCCCTCGTGTACTATCATTCTGAACTCCCACCCGGCTTTCCTCATCCGCCATCCTTCCATCCCCCACCCCGCCCGGTTTCTCTGCCTGCCCCTGGGTCTCCTTGTGATCGATACTCTCTCTCCCCATCTACCTTGGTCTCCTCTCAAAGATTCCATTTCCTCCTTCCCGTCACCTCTGTCTGACTGCCCCGGAATCTGCCTGTCCCTCCCCACCCACACCCACACTCTCACCTTGTACACATCGAAGTTGTCTATGACGGCATCGAAGCAAGTGTACAGGTCATTGAGCAGGGTCACCACCTGGAAGGGAACAGTAGGGGCTCCACCTGGGCTTGGGTGGGGAAGGCGGAGCCAGGAGGCAGGCCTATGGGATGGCGATGGTGGACCAAGCCTACGGGATGGCGATGGGGGACCAAGCCTACGGGATGGCGATGGTGGACCAAGCCTACAGGATGGCGATGGGGGACCAAGCAGACCTGCCTGGTCTTCACTCGTGGCTGCCCCCTGACTCACCTGCATGGGTGTGCTCTCGGCCGACAGGGCTGTGAAACCCACAATGTCACTGAAGTAGATAGTCACGCTGTCAAAGGCTTCGGCCTCCACGGTCTCGCCGCGCTTCAGCTGCTCAGCCACTGAGCTGAGGGGTCAGGGATCAGAGGGTGAGGTGGGGCCGGCACAGGGGTAGCAGGGCACGTCGCCGGCACGGGCACTCACTGAGGCAGGATCTGGTAGAGCAGGGCCTCGGCCTTCCGCTTCTCCTCCAGGTAGGCCTGGGTCCGCTCCTCCACCAGCTCCTCCAGGTTGTTGGCGTACTGCTCCATGCGGGACAGCAGGTTGTCCAGGATGTTGCTGCTGTTCTCTCTGCGGGCGGGGAGCAGCAGGCCGGGGTGAGAGCGTGCCCACCCCAGGCCTCCACCGGACCCAGGCTCCCAACCCACCTCCCGACGGCAGTGGGGACCCTGGAGAAGGCTGGGGGTGAGGGGCACTGCAGGAAAGGGTAGGAGGTACGTTGGGGTCATCTTTGAGATGCCAGGGTCAAGTGTGAAGCTTCAGGCACAGCTATTTTGTTGGAACAGTGAGTTGGAAGGTGGCAGAGGAGGTGGGAAGGGACTTGGGTTGACTGAGAACGCAGCAGGAGGGCACACAGGCTCCGAGGTGCATCTGGAGGCACTGGGCCCCAGGGTGGTGCCCTGGGCAAAGGAGTTCACAGGGTGGGGTGGGAGCTCCCCTGCAGGGGAGGGGCCGTGTACTCTGCACACCAGGGAAGACTAGGGGCCCTGGGGCTGAGCAGGAGGGGGGTGGGGAGGGGTGTTGTGGGAGGAGAGGGGGGATGAGAGGTGGGGAACTGTGGGGACATCTGGGTCATTTGATATTCACACAGGGGGCTGTGAGGCTGTGGTGCTACAGTAGCTACTTTATGGTTGAGACTTTGTTATTTTAAAGAGAGAGGAATGCAGGGGTGGGGGGGGAATTTGTTGTTACACTTATTTATACGTTCATTGGTCGATTCTTGTATGTGCCCCGACTGGGGATCGAAACCCACAACCTTGGGACGATGCTCTAACTGAGCCAGGCAGGGATGAGACTTAAGTGGGGGGTACATGGTGGGGGGGTAGGTGGGACAGGGGAGGCTGGGGGTGCCCCATGCCTAAGGCCAGCGACCTGTTAAACTTTCTCAGCATCGTGCGGATCTGCTGGAAGGGCGGCCGCTCCTGCGGGTCTTCAGCCCAGCACCTCTGCATCAGGTGCCCCAGTTCCTCCAGGTGACTCTGCAGGTCCAGGGAGGGCCGGAACGGGGGCTGCTCACCCCGAGTCACCCGCTCGATGATCTCTGTGTGGTGGGGAGAAAGGGGCTCAGTGGCTGGGCCAGCCAAGGGCCTGTTGAGAGATGGGGTGGGGAAGGCCGGGACCCGGGCACGGGGCAGTCATGCCTCAGGGTCACGGGCAACAATGGAGCAACGGGTGGTGGCTGGGCTGTGCAGGAGGAAGATGTGGTGGCATTTCCAGGCGTCTCTCTCTGGGGCTGAGGTAAGTTGAGACTGAGGCAGGGCTCGGGGACGGCATGTCCTCTTACCTTTGGGGCTGAGGTCCAAACCTTCCACGTGGAATACGCCGCTTCTCAGGGCAATCTCCTGAAGGATGATCCCAAAGCTGTAGATGTCACCGGCCTGGGAGCCCCGGACGGGGGGTGAGGCCATTCGCAGGAGCTCGGGGGCTGTCCACAGCTTTTCTGCGGGTCAGAGGGCAGGAGTCACAGGGCGAAGGGCCCAAAGCTAAAGGGAAACAAGGCTAGAGCTAGAAGGTTGGTCTGGGACTGATCTGGAGACACCAAACGAGTGCTAGAGCTAAACGAGGCCTGGAGACCGCTTCGTCGGACTCCTCGTTCTACTGGGGAATGAGCTGAGCGAGAGTCAGGAGAGGCGTGCGTGCTCAGGCCCATCCGAGACCAGGCACAGCCTCCCTGCTGGTCTGGCCTTCAGTCGGGATTGGGGACAGCGGGGGGTCTGAGCTCACTGGCGTAGAGGGTGTGTCCTTGGTCAGGCTCTGGGTCCCTGAAGCTCTCGAGCCCATAGTCAGTGATCTTGAGCACAAATCGACCGTCTACCACACAGTTGGATGACTTGAGGTTCCCGTGGGAGCAGATGGCCCCACTGTGCAGGAACTGCATGCCCTGGAGAACGTGGAGGCAGGGGTCTGGGGTATGAGTGGGACTTACAACCCCGGCCAGAGAAGCACGCCTCCCCCACGTCCAGTGGGCTCTCCTGGACCCACCTTGACGATGTCATTGGTGAGAGAGTACCGGAACATCCAGTCCAGGGTGATGCTCTCATTTTCCAGAATGTCCTACTGGGCAGTGAGAGTCAGCCCTGTGCCCTGCAGACTCCCCCTAAGAGGAGTGCAGGGGCCCTACTGCCGTCAAGTGGCAGAACAGGACAAACTTTGTATTTACTTTGGTGCCACTGCCCCCTCCCTCCCCACTCCCATTTTACAGATGGGGCAAATAAAGGTCAGAGAGAGAGAGGGGCCTCCTGGGGCTAGAGCCAGGGCTAGACCCAGGTTTCCTGACTCCCCTTGGTCCCCTCACCTGCAAGCTTCCACGGGGGCAGTACTCAGTGAGGATACAGATGTTGGGGGGATCGGTGCAGGCACCCACAAACCTGGTCAGGTGGTCATTCTGTATATCCCGCATCTGCAGGTAGGAGCCAGCATCAGGAGCCTGACAGAGACCTCACTCCTCAAGCTGTCCCCCACCCTCAAGGACCACTCACTCTTCTTAACTCTGTATTCATTCTCCAGACACTCTAGGGCCTTCCCTGGTGATTCCCACCCATGTTCTGTGGCCCACCATCCCTCCACATCTGCTCCCTACTCCCTCTGCCTCCCAAGCCCTCCACCCGCCCAGGGCACCAAGTATGGCCCCTCGAGGACCTTCCTCCAGGACATGTCCAGGTGTCCTTTCCCCATCCATGACACCCTCCTCCCACACGCAACATGCCAGGGCCCCTCTCAGGGCTACAGAGGACCCTGAGGTCCCTCCATAAGCAGTGCCTTTGGCCAACCTCCCCTGTCCCCCTGGGATGCTCCCCCAGGCCACTGCCTCACTCCCCTATATTACATGCTTCAGCTCAAACAGGACTTTTCTTGTCAGCTCAATGCGTTTACGGTTCACACTTTTCACAGCCACGAGGTTGCCCTGGGCAAGGAATGGAGACTGTCACCGTGAGGAGATGAGAGTTCCCAAATGCCCTGAGACCCTGCTCCTCACAGCCCACCATGCCTCCCGGGCCCTCCCTGTCCTGTCAGAGAGCAGCCTGCCCCAGGCCCCAGGCCCACCTTATAATACACCGTCTTGGCAAAGACCTGGAACTGGCCCTCTGTGGTGAGGAGGGAGCCGTAATTGGAGCCTCTCTGAAGGGAGGGAGAGCAGGAGGGACGGTCAGCCCATGGGCCCCACTGTGGGCCCCGCTCTCCCTGCTAATGGCTTGAGCTAGGTCTTCACTGCCTCCTTCCACATCATGACACCCGCCCCTCACTTGCTTTTTCCCTTTAATGTACTGTCACATAGACTATCTCCAACCTTTGAAGAAGCCTCTACAGGAGGCTCTTAGATGTAACCATTATCTGAGCGTCTCAGAGAGGGGCCATGACCTGCCCAAGGTCACACATGAAGACAGCTGGGGTTGGAACCCTGCTCTCTCCCTGACCCATCAGGCACTGCCCTCCCCCCACCCCATCCCCAGCTGTCCCTCAATGCCCCCCAATACCAGCGTTCTTACCCCACTCAAGGTCAGCCGGCTGCCCGCACTCCGGAGGTGCCTCTCCAGGCTACTGGGCTGCAAGTCCTCCCAACGCACCCGCCATAGCTCTGAGGCCAGTTCCTTCTCCAGCTGCATCTTCCTGAGGCATGAAACGGGCCTCTGAGCCCCTGACCCCGCGTGAGGAGGCTCTGGCCCACACCCCTCCCCTGAGCCCTGGCACCACTGCCTGAGCTGAGCCGAGCTGAGAGCACCCCCACTGCCCTGCGAGGCAGGTCTCAGGACGGCCCCTGGCTGAGAGCCGGGAGGTGTGGGTGAATTTCTGCCTCACGGGGACCTTGGGGCAGTCACTGTATTTCTTTGAGTCTCACGTCTTTATGTCCAAATGTCCTCATTTGGAAACGGGGAACCTCAATATTTGTTTCAAAAGCATTGTTATAGAATGAAAGAGAGGTGGTGTGGGAGGGTCTCTACATAGGACGTGATCAGCCAGCTCCGATGTTCTCCCCTCCCTCTATCCTTCACTTCTCCCCAGCTTCCGTTTCCGCTCCCCAGGAAGGCAGGCACAGGGCTCCGTCACCTCTCTGGATGCACAGGGCTCATCAGCCCTGCCCTGCTAGCAGGGGCCGATCCCAAAGGGTCTGAGCACTGCTTCCCATCCCGTCAGCAAGAGCAGGGGGGACAACCCGGCCCCTGGGCCAAGATCCAGGCCTTTATGTTGCCACTCCATCCCCTACCCCTTGCTGTCTGGGACCACCTCCCTCTCCCTGGGCACCCCTACCCCTACCCAGTTCCTCCCTTCTTCCTTGTGTCCTAAGGCTTTTTAGTCTCTTTTCTCCAGCGGCCTCCCCTGCTGTGCCCGCACCCTTCCTGCCTCCCCTCTGCATCCTTGCCGCCTCCCCTCCCCGAGTCTGGTTGGTTCCCCAGGTCTCCCAGCCTCACTCACCACCCTCTCCCCAAGGCTCACCTGTATATGAAGATGGAGACGATCAGGATGCTGAGCAGAGAGAGGCTGCCTACCAGCGCCAGCACCTCCAGGGTGGAAAAGTGGGCTGTGGGTGAGAGTGCGAGTTGCAGCAAGAAAGAGTTCGCTTAGACAGCAGGAGGAGTGCCTCCTAACGGTCAGCCAGTGCTAGGATGGTGGATGAAGGAAGGAAAAGGCAGGAGTCTTTCCAGAAAACTCTCAGTGTGGGGGGAGGGGAGCAGTGTCTCAGAATGGAGGCCTGGATGGCAAGGGGCAGGCACCTTGGTTGCAGGCAGGGTCCTCGTTGTCAAAGCCGCACTTGGGGATGTCAGGAGGCGGGTATCCTAGGGGCCAGTGCAGTGTGCGCCCTGCCACCGCCACCAGCTCCTGGGAAGTCCCATTGTAGTTCAGGACGACCTGTGGGAGGAGGGAGGGTGGGCAGGCACGGTGAGCGGGCAAGACCTCCTGTCCTGTGGGGTAGTCCTGTCTCCCACCTCCCCCATCCCTGCTTCCAGGCCCTTTAACTGGGATGTCAACCCTGTATCAAACCCCTACTGTGAGTGACAGAGACCCCATACCCGTGCCCCAGGCCATTAGAGTGGAATAACGAACACAGTGTGTGTTCATCTTGGCTCTGAGCTGCCCGTCTCTGTGGGAGGGGTTCTGTGATCTTAGGAGACACTGGACTTCCTGAGGGCAGGGCTGTGCTCCCTCCTCAGACATGGGTTCCCCAAGGGTAATGCCTGTGAGTCCCTATCATTCTGGTTGATCCCCCCACTAGAGCTTTAATCCAGGGCTCCCCATCAGTGACAAGCATAGCAGGTAACTTCAGGGTAGACAGATGCCCTGCCTGGGCTGGGGGGCCGGGGGCGGGGGCAGGAGAAGGGGGGTGAGGTGTCTTTCTCAGTTGGCATTGTCTTCCCCGGGCACAGCCTTACCCGAAAGGCACTGGTCTCAGGATCCATATCCCAGAGGGAGAAGTCAGTCTCTCGGTCTCCATTGCTGTCGATTTTCAGGTGTCCGGTCACACCTGGGGGCGTGGAGGAGGATGGCTGTGTTTTGAGGGAGCGGAAGAAAGTTCAGAGAGCCCCCCGCCCCCACGCACACACACCTCATCTGATCCCTTGATTGTTTCTGCCTTGCCCTCCAAACACACACACACACACACACACACACACACACAACACACACACGCCCCCCTCCCCCACACACACACACACACACACACACACGGAATGATAATAAAAGGGACAGAAACTTCAGCCACAGGACTGATGGGCGCTGGATACTCAGAAGGATTTCTTGATGGAGCTCAGAGAGAGGGCAGGAGGGCCTACAGGAAGCTGCGGGAGACTGGCGGGGCGAGGGACTGCCCGGCCGCAGGACTAGAGGCTCCCCATGCATGGCCTCCCACCCAGCGCAGTCCCAGGCAGGCCGTTCTCGCCACCTCCAGGCCCTGACCTTGGAAGCTCCGGTTCCACATCCGCTGGGTGATGCCCTCCCCATCGGTGACGGCTCCCCCGTGGGCCAGGGTCTCTGTCGCTGCCTGGACGAAGAGCAGGAGCCCGTCGTGGAAGGACGCGGGGATGGTGTTCACCTGCGGGGACAGCGGAGCCTTGCTGGGGTGGGATGTGGAGGGCACACAGTGGGTGCTGGGGGAGGCACTGGGAGTGCTGGGAGCTGGGAAGGGGATGAGAGGAAACATCCCCACAGGACAGCAAGGTTTCGCTAATGATAAGATGCCTCTGCATAGGCCACCGCTTCGCATGCCGCTGGGCAGGTGGGGCAGGACAGATCACTCCCCTTTGACTGTGAGGAGTTGAGATTCGGAGGTTGAACTGGTCAGCGCCACCTCCCAACCCCCAGAGATACAGCAATAAGGGGCAGGGAAAGAAGGGGAGGCCTGGGGATCCTGGGATGGCTGAGAGGACAGGGTGGAGACTGGCAGGGGGCCATGGAGGGGGGGCTGGAGGTCCACAGTGGAGGGTCCCAGGGCCCCGTCCTACCAGGCCGTCCTCCAGGGTGAAGTTGAACTGCTCATGAGCCAAGTGCTTCAGCTGCTGCAGGAATTCCGCGTACTCAGGGTTATCTGGCTCTTTGTATGTAATGATTTTGGCAGCCTGAGGAAGGGGTCAGTGGAGAGGGGTGAGCTGGGAGCTGACCCACCTTCCCAGTAGCCTGGGGCCCATCTCCCAGAGCTGCATCTCTGCTCAGCTTAACGTCAAACTGGACCCCATATCCTGGGTGAGGTGCTGACTGCTCCAAAGCAGGGGACCCAAAGGGAGGGCTTCTCCCAGTCCAGTGAGTCTGCAGGACTTGAACATCCTTCCACCTCAAGCCTACACGCACATCCTCTTACCCTCCTGGCTCTGAGCCCCCTGTCCCTTCATACACCTCTGGGCCCAGGCTCCTGCCCTTCGTCACCTAACTCCCTGTGAGCATCAGGAATTCCTTTTCTGCCCTGGCCGGTTTGGCTCAGTGGATAGAGCAGTGGTTCTCAACCTTCTGGCCCTCTAAATACAGTTCCTCATGTTGTGACCCAACCATAAAATTATTTTCGTTGCTACTTCATAACTGTCATGTTGCTGCTGTTATAAATCTAATGTAAATATCTGATATGCAGGATGGTCTTAGGCGACCCCTGTGAAAGGGTTGTTCGACCGCCAGAGGGGTCGCGACCCACAGGTTGAGAACCTCTGGGATAGAGCGTGGGCCTGCCCACTGAAGTCTCCCAGGTTTGAATCCGGGTCAAGGCACATGCCCAGGTTGTGGGCTCAATCCCCAGTAGGGGGCGTGCAGGAGGCAGCTGGTCAATGATTCTCTCTCATCATTGATGTTTCTATCTCTCTCCCCCTTCCTCTCTGAAATCAATAAAATATATTTTTTTTAAAAAAGAAAACTCCTTTAAAAAAAGAGAAAGAAAGAACTTCTTCTCTAGAATCATTTCAGATAATGCAGGACCCAGTGCCCAGAAACTACGTGTCACCAGTTGAGAGTCCCACCCCCTGGCACTCACCTGAAAGGCCCGGTGGGCACTGACATCCTGCCCATCCCCGCGCTCCCAGGGCCTGCGGGAGCCAAGGCCCTGTGCACCTTGCAGGCTTTGCCCGAAGAGATCCAGGTGGAAGAAAGCATAGTCCTCCCCACTGAGACCAGCTTCCAGGGCCAGAAGCATCAGGGCTCTGAAGGCATCCGGGGAGCTGCAGATGTAGATGACTGGGGGGGGAGGGGGAGGGTCAGAGAGAAAAGCCCAGGTGTTGGGGACGGGGAGACGCTCCAGGTAGGGGAGCTGGGGCACCCAGGGGATCGTTCAGAGCCCCTGTGGTAGTTGGGTGGACCTCCGGCCTCGGCCTCGGTACAGGCGGTGGCAGGAGGAAGATGGAGAAGGGCAGGAGGTGGAGGTGGGAGGGGGAAAGGAGCAGAGGTGCGGGGAGGCCGGGCAGGAGGGGGGCGGGAAGGAGAGGAAGGCCAGCCGGAGAGGGGACTGGAGAGGAGCTGGTGTGTGGGAGCAACGGGAGGAGAAGATGGAGGAAGGAACCAGGCGTTTGGGAAGAGAGAAAATGGGCGAGAAAAAGGGATGGGAACTAAGCCAGGAACCTACTACGTGTCAGGTGGCAGCAGGCCCCCC